CCACAAAACCCTGCCCTAGACTGAAGGAAAACTGACAGTGGAGAGTGCCTCTGTGTGTGACAGTGTTTGCACATCTGCTGTGGGCCAGGTACTGACTATACTAGGCAATATGCTGGACAGTTTGCGAGCACACACAGTAGAACAGGGTGTCATCCCTGTCTGAGTGAATGGAGGCAGAAGAAGCTTCCCTAGACTGAGTTCTGAAGATTGCATAGGGTTTACTAGGCAACAGTGGGCAGGGAGCAAGCATTGCAAAGCCCTGGTGTGGAGAGGGGAGAAGAGGGCCCCAGGACTATGTGAAGATTCATTTAAGTAGATAGTTTGCTCATGTAAGATAGCATTAGGGCTCTATAACTGTGTGGCTGTCACAGAGCTGAGATGATACAGTTTGGTTGGTATTAGTTTACCAGTCTACCTCCCCATATCCCAAATTAGATTGCCCAGCTGAAATCCATCACAAGCCTCTGGTAGAGGCTTCTCTGTGTGCTGCTCAGAATGCTYTCTCTGTGCTTAATATTCCCAAACCTGAAAAGAAAACATTATTGATTGGCAGAATCCAGATGTGAGAGGCTGCCAGTACTGTTATGAGTTTGTTACTGGAGCTTTGTGTGTGTRTTGTGAGACTGGTTCTAGGGAGGGTCTACGAAATATTGCTGGCTGTAAATAAACCTGCTTCAGRATATGCTGAGTAAATCCTCCCAGCTCCAATGGCAGCTCCTCTATCTTCATGAATTTATATTGTTTTTACTTCCTTCCTGTGCCCCAGTCAGCTTCATCGGTGACTGGGCTTTCGTATTCTTTACAGGGAGAACCAAATTCTAGGTTCTGTAATTCCTGAGAATACCAAGGCTCTGCTACTGACCTACAGCCATAGCTGGTGTGTTCTCCCAAGTGTCTGTCACAGTTAAACCAAACTGGCAAGTTCTACAGCCTGCTGTAGCCACGTCATGCTCTAGCTATTGGGACTTTGGTCTCAGGTGAAGGCTGGGGAGCAGCATGTGAACTAGAATGGTTTTTTTCCTCCTCCCTTGTCTTCTCACGTGGCTTCTGTTGGAAAGCTGTGGATTTGGGCTTTTGTTTTTCCTTGTGTCTTAATTGGACTTGAACTAGGGAGCTGAAAGGGATTTCTTCTAGGAGCTGCTTTCCTTTCATAGGGTGATGCTTTCTTTCATCTTTCCTGTGGACTAGGAGAGTCCCTCTCAACCTTTTCTACCTGAGAGACATGTGCTGTTGCCTTCTTGTCTCTGGACTGTGGGTTCCATGCCTCCTGACTGACTCAGACAACTGTCTGGTAAATAGATCTCCAGGCTGAGTTTATTACTTCAACCAACTGGAAGCCAGAGGAACGGATCTGTACAAGTCAAGACAGGTGTCCCCTGTGAGTTTTAAAATGTGATTTGTGGGAAGGAAAGAAGAACAATGATTTCTCATTGCTTTTGCTTGTGTCTTCATTACTCCCCTTCCMCTTCCTGCCTCTTTAAGGGCATGGCAAGACTCTCCGAATGCAGGTATAATTGAATAATGTGACCCTTTTTTTCTGTCCCCTTAGCTCTGCCATTTAAAATACTACCTCATGCGTGTGTCCTATGACTAGCTTGTGATAGCTGTCATGAGTACTTGAATAGTATCTGGCTTGACAATTAGGAGGATGTTCCTCTGGGTCTTTGTTTTTACTGTGACAGTCTCCCTCCGCTTCCTACCCTTTCTTCCACTGTATGGAGGTCCTTGTGGAATCAAGTTGCTACTGTCAGAATAGTGCCTGTTTTCATTTAGTGAAACTTGCTTCAATGGATGGGCGTAAGTGGTCCTGAAAGCATCTTGGGATGTTTATCACCATCTTCAGTGATTCCCACTTTCTGCCAAGACTTCCTCAGTGGTGTTTTAAGTCTGGACCCCTCTCCATTGAAGTACAGGTGATGCTGTGCCTCTGGTCTTATGCTCAGATATGGAGGGAACCTGATTTGTCAGAGTGGGCACCATAAGAGCCATAAGAACTTGGTTTGTTTTCTCAGAAGCAGCTCTATGCAATGATGTGCCCAGGGCTAAGCAAGCACACACCCAGCTTTTTGGTCTCAGGGCAGAAGAATTACCTTCCAAAAACAGGACAGGGTGTGGCCAGCAGGAGGTAGATTCCCACTGTGGATTCTCCAGAACCTTCCAGGTTCCAAGAGTGCCTATAACACCAATGGGCTCCAGAAATCTTAGGAGATCTCCAAAGATCTTACATCCTAGGAGAYCTTAGCTCCATGTTTCTGGCCCCTTCCTGAAGCCCACTGCCTCATATGGCTTTGAAGATATGCAGGCTCATTTATGCATTTGACTTATGGGATTAAGGCAGGAGAATCTTCTCACATTTGGAATATGGTCCATTGGTCAGCACTTTGTTTGGAGGTACCAAAAGTTGGAGGCCCGTGGAACCAAGTTCCACTGAGGTAGGTCAGGTGAACCTGTGTTTTGGATGTAAAATACGAGTTCTAGCACCTTAGCTGGGTGCTCTCTGGCATACCCCATTCTTGGTCTAACAGAGTAGAAAGCAAGGACTAGATCAGTTCACAAATGGAAACCAACTGCCCAGTTTTTCTTTTCTTTTTTTTTAAGCTTTTAAAAAAAATATTTATTTTAGGTGTAGATGGACACAACACAATGCCTTTATTTTTATGTGGTGCTGAGGATCGAACCCGGGTCCCACCCGCGCTAGGTGAGCGCTCTACCACTGAGCCACAATCCCAGCCCCCCACTGCCCGGTTTACCTTTCTCTTTTAGTTAACATGTAAAATAACTAGAGTCATACAACAAAATAATATAAGAAGAAAATATATAAATATACTTCCTGTCTGGTTTTTGCCCCATCATTTTCTTCCTCAGATATGACTAAAGAACCTCAGCTAAGCCAGCCAGGCATGTGTGAAATGCAGRATTCATCCCTCATCACCACACGCACTTCCTCCCCTCCCATCTCGGGTCACAAAGGTCATAAGAAGCCAKGGGGAGGCTCCTGAACTTTTACTGTACTTAGGGAGCCCTTTAAGTGACATTTGCATGTTTGGTGACCAGCTTCYTGTCACTCAGATGAACACTGGATTAGGATTTCAGTGACTACCAACCCTCCTTCCTCAACTCTGCATATTTATCCATGAAAGGAGAGTGTCAGGAAACAGGGCCTTGGAAAACAGTGAGTTTGGGGCCCTTAGAGTTCACAGGTCAGTCCCCTGTATTGGCTGGGGGAGGTAGGATGTACCCAGATGATGTTTCCCACAATCAGCACCAAGAAGGCTGTCTCCTAGAGGAAAAATGTAAGAAAATTTTACAGTCCCACATTTTGTTACTGACCACTCTTTAATAATGGTTTCTTCAGTTACTTCTACAAAGGGATTGTTGTTGGTCCCCTGAGAGATTGGTGCTCTTTATAAAGCAGCTGATTTATGACTCCAACCTGAACTTGACGTGGCAGTGCTCCAGGCCCGCCTCCCGCCTTCCTCTACCCTAGCCCTCTTTCCTCTTTGCCCACCTGATTGGCAGGGGGTGGGTGCCTAGAAGGTGGGTTGCTAAGCAGCCTGGCTTTAACATTGTGCCCTTGCAGTTTGATGAATAGCTGCAGTGTTTAGAAGAGAGAGAGGATTTTGGTCTGTCTCTTAATCAGGAGGGACTTTTTTGGGGAAGGGGTTAAGCACTTGTAGTCTGGTCTTGGCACATGGCCATAGCTTGGGAGGGAATTTGGTAACCCTCACGGTGCCTTCCCTTCTGAGATGCAGTGTGAATGGAGTCCAGAGCTCTGTGGCGGTTCCCATGTGAAGATCTTGTTGCAGAGTTGTCACTGTCTTATCTCCCCCCTCACCAAGAAAGAAAAGGAAATGAGATCCAACAACATTCTGTGAACTCAGCTTTTTCTGTTTTGATAATTAACTTGTAGTGGCACTTGAGATCACTGACCTTACTGGTCAGTAGGAAACAGGTGTGTTCTTGCCATTTTATGTTTGGGGGAATGCCTTCCTCCTGCTGTGTCAGAAACTTGTAATATGGGGCTTAGATTGTAACCTTTGCCTTCTCATCCATTGATTTGTTTTAGATGAAGCATTTACTCTGGTGCAGTGAGGTAAGCAGTTTTTTGATAAGAAGCCTTTGTTGGACTGGGGTCGTGGCTCAGTTGGTAGAGTGGTTGCCTAGCATGTGAGAGGCACTGGGTTCTATTCTCAGCACCACATATAAGTAAATAAATTAAAAACAACAACTAAAAAATTAAAAAATAAAAAGAAGCCTTTGTATTTAGGTTTCTACAGGATGAAATGGGAGTAACTGTCGACTTGCATTAAGTATTGAGGAAAAGCTTTTCGTTAGAGAGAATATACAGCCAAAGAATGCTGCCTGGAACTGGGRCCTCATTTGGTCCCTTATTAAAGGCATGCTGTACACATGCTCTTGGGTTCTGTGAGCTGCCAAGCTACCTCCTTACTTAAAGAATCCTTTTTTGACTTGAGCTAAACATGAAACTCCAGGAGTAACTAATCTCACGTCTCCATCTTGGGAGCGGGATATTATGAAGAAGTACCCCTTACTTCCTTTGTGCCAACAGTCTCAGTAATATACTCTGGGGCACTGCCTAGGCTCTGGAGGAAGAGGCAGCCAGGATCTTGAGCTCTGCTGCTTCAGGGTACAGGGGGCTTCCTGAGCCCAAGGGAGCAGCAGGCATGGTTCAGATCATACAGGTGGCCCAGGCAGGAATGCTGCTGTGTTGGCTCTCCTCAGCATCAGTTGGAACTGCTCCTTGCTGGAGGCCATGGAAGAAGACTAACACGGCACTCTGGAGTATCCCACCTGATATAAGGAAGAAGGGGTAGGAGGCTCTGGGATCCCAGAAGCCCCCAAAGCACTGCTCCCCTTCATTTAGTGCCACTGMTATAATTTTCCCTCTTCTCCTTCCCTAAAAAAATCAGGCATCTCCTGAAGAGAGGGACTGGCTCAGGGGCCTGATCTTACCTCTGTGTGTTATTTCTCTTCTGCAGGATAACACAGAAGTAGAGAAGCGAGATCCCCAAGAACTAGTTGGTAAGTATGCAGGAGAGCTGGGGGCATACTTGTAACCCTTGCCCTGTGAGCAAACCAGCTTCTGGCTATGCCAGCCTCTGCTCCTTGGGGCTTTTCTCAGCTATGAGCATCCTCCCTTCAGACTCCCTCTTAGGGCCTTTGGCGTTTTCTAGAATGACTGAGACCCCCCCCCCAAGCAGTTCTTCATTTAATAATATTCATGGTACATCTTATTGGGGTTTCCTAAGTTGCTAATATATCASGATGGGGTTCCAGGTCCCCATCAGCTGGGAGCTTTGTTTCTTCCCCTTGTGCCCTGGGTCCTTTCTTTGCCTTTGTTCTCCTCCTCCCCCTCCACTGGTGTTCATGTTGCTCACAGAGTCAGCATATGGCCTTTGCTGGAATTTCGCTTTGTCCCCAGGCAAGAACATGCCCTGAAACCCATGAGTTTGGGGCCTTTGGTGAGAGACAGAGCCGTTTCTGGAAAATTACGTACCATCCGMCTCCTTTGCCAATCCCAGCCTCTAATCCCATTAGAAAGTTTCTTAGCTCCTTTAATTTGGCCATGGACATTATTGGATCCAAAAGCCTTACCCAAGGGAATTTTCCAGTGAATCCAGGCCTCTCAGCAGTGTCAACCCTCCCTCTCTATGGCAGCTGTTACCTGCCTGTCTCAGTGATGTTTACAAAGCATATTTTTTTCTTCTTCCCAGGGACACCTATAAAACCTTCCCTTGTACACCCATGTTGGCATTGAAGGCTCACTCCTTCTAGTCCTAAGTTTTCAGATCACAGAGACTTGGCCAGAAAGTGCTCCTCCAGCCTCCCTTCCACTTGTTTTTTCTCTAAGTAGGATCCTTTTGCTGGGGGTGGGGAGGAGGAAGAGTTTATTTGGCAACTCTCAGTTTCAGGGGTCTGAGTCCATAGACAGCTGGCTCCATTCCTCGAGGCTTGARGTGAGGCTGAACATCATGACAGAATGGCAGAGGGAAGTGGCTCACATGATAAGCAGGAAGCAGAGAGACTGTACTTGTCAGATACAAAAACATATCCCAAAGGCATGCCCCCACCTCCTTCAGCCACACCCTACCTGCCTTCAGTTACCACTCAGTTAATCCCCATCAGGAATTAATTCACTGATAAGGTTAAGCCTTGTAAAACCCAATCATTTCTCATTTAAACTTTCTCACACATAAGCTTTTGGAGGACACCTAATCTAAACCATAATGCTATTCAGTGCCACCCCAGTTCTCAGCAGGATTTTGCTTTGATCCCTGGGCTCTCTAATGGGTGGAATTTGAATCTTCCAAATCCTATAATGGCCCTGGGTTTTCCTAAGCCCTAGCTAGAGTTTGCTCAAAATTGAGAGACTTGCAACATCAGGGGCAGTAGTTTCCTTCTAGACCAGAAGAGGCAGAGTATGTCAGCTAGGGAGCCAAGGGCCTGTCCCTAGTGAGTAATCTGTAGGGCCAGGTGTGGCAAGAGCCTCAGCCTCTTCCTTCAAAACCCCACTTGATCTTTCTGTTTATTATTAAGAAGCTTCAAGGCTGGAGGTCAGAGAGCAGCCTGTCTGTGAGCCATCATGGCAGTGCCCTCCACTCACTAGCAGTGTCTGGCACATGACACAGTGTGTATGGGAACTTAGCTCCCAACTTCTTTCACAGCCAACTGAGCACTATTTCTCTCTGCCATCTTTGTTTATTTGTTTTGATACTGGAAATTTAACCCAGGGGCACTTTACCACTGAGCTATATCCTAGATCCACCTCCAACTTTTTTGACCTTTTATTATGAGACAGGGTCCCCTAAGTTGCTTAAGGCTTAAGTTGCTGAAGCTGGCCTTGAACTTGTGATCTGGAATTACAGGTGTGTACTGCCTATACCCAACTCCATGCCACACTTTAAAAATAGCTTTGTTGAGCTGGATGCTGAGATTCACATCTGTAATCCCAGCAATTTGGCAGGCTGAGGCAGGAAGATTGCAAATTTGAGGCCAGCCTCAGAAACTTAAGACACTGTCTCAAAGAACTGGTCGGCTTAGGAGGCTGAGGCAGGAAGATCACAAGTTCAAAGCTAGCCGCAGCAATTTAGTAAGGCTCCAAGCAATTTAGTGAGACCCAATCTCAAAATAAAAAATAAAAAGGATTGGGTTCAATCCTTGTTACCAAAAAAGTAATGAACTGGGAATGTAGCTCAATAGTAAAGCACCTCTGGTTCAATCTCCAGTACCAAATAAATAAATAATGAAAAAATAAAAATAGTTTGGTTGAACTGGGCAAGGTGGAAAAAGACAGTATTTGAAGCTATTTGGGAGGCTGAGCAGAAGAGTCACAATCTGATGCAAGCTTGGACAACTTCGAGGCCAGCCTGGGCAACTTAACGAGACCCTTAGTAAGTTGGTGAGACCCTGTCTTAAATAAAAAATTTAAAGGCCTAGAACATAATAACTTCAGTGGTAAATCACTCCTGGATTCCATCACCAGTAACCCCCTCCCAAAAAAATAAAGGAGCTTTGTTGAGGTTTATTTTATAATTTAAAGTATAATTCGCTGGTTTTAAGTGTGTCATTTGATGAATTTTGACAGCTGTGTATAGTTGTATTATCCCCTCCACTTTCACAAGACAGGATGTTTCCATCCCTCCAAAATGTTCCCTTATGCGCCACCACTATTTGCAGACCATTTCTTCCCCTGGCTTCAGGCGAGAAGTGATCCACTCTCTTTGGAAGTTCTGTCTATTTTAGAATTTCATTTTTTTTTTTTTTAAGAGAGGCAGAGATAGAGAGAAAGAGGGAGAGAGAGAGAATTTTACCATTTTATTTTTCTTAGTTTTCGGCAGACACAGCATCTTTGTTTGTATGTGGTGCTGAGGATCGAACCCGGGCCGCATGCATGCCAGGCGAGCTTGCTACCGCTTGAGCCACATCCCCAGCCCCCTAGAATTTCATATAAATCAGAATTTATTGATGTTTTGGGCTGGATCACTCCCTGTCATGGGGGCATCCTGTGCATTTAGGATATTTAGCACGGCATTAGTTTCTACCCACTAAATGCCAGGAGCATTCTCTCCTTCTTCCCCAAATGTGGTGGCAAAATGTTATCTCCAAAGGTGCAGAATCACCCCCAGGTGAGAACTGCTAATACAAATAGATCATAGTTTTCCTGACTGGCTTCCTTTACTTGTCTTGATGCTTCTGAGATTCATCCATGTCGYTGAGCATATCCATCGTTTACTTCTTTTTATTGCTAAGGAACATGCTTATAAGGTATACTACAGTTGTTTGTGTATTCATTCACCCACCGAGGACACAAATGCCGCATAGTTTTGAACTGTCTCACCACTTCTCATTAAGGAGTAGCTAGGTCAGCTCTTCACTGAGCATGCAAGCTTGRACAACTTTTAGTTTAGTGGAGAGTAGATTCCATCCATGATGCCATGCTTGTCAGCTCCTCTGTCTGAACTTGGCTCCTGTACCTGAACTTAACTCCTCTAGATATCAGGACTCAATGTTGCTCACTGGATGTGGGAAACATTTTCAAACACGTAGACAGCCCTACCTTTAAAAAAGCAATCAAGAAAGCTGAGAGTCCAATTCATAGGTGAGGTATCTCTAGTACTGTAACTCCTGACAGAGCTGTCCATACCCACCAGGGGCCCCACCATTGCTCCATAGGTGCCAGAAACAGAGGTACTGGAGTGACACCCCCAGTGAGTTTTCCATGCCAATCACGAACTAGAAATATCCCCCCCCCACCTCCTCCTTGTAGCCCCCCACAACACCCTGCAGACATCCTCAGGTCTCCCAGTCTTGCTACTCTGCTTGCTCCCTGCCACTGCATAGCCCTACCTGGCAGCTATGGATACTGGGAATGTTTTCTGACATGGGCAGGCCCCAGGGGTGATGTGTGCTGATGCAGGCTCCTTAAATCCTAAGTTGCAGCTGCCCTCCCAGACTGTCCCCAGAAGACCCAGGCAGCAGCCACACATGTGGTTGTTGTCCTGAGTGTCTGAGGACACACTGCTAAATGTATTTCCTGGGAAGATGGTTCAGAGTTCTGGCTGCTTGTAGCAAGATACACAGAGTGGATGTCATTTTTATTGGATTCATTCTGGAACTTAGGAAAGAGAATCACTGAAAAATTGCTTCTAAAATCCGTGGGATAACTTTTGTTTTCCCAAGTTTGTCCCTTTATTGTCAGTTACTTCCTAGTAATTCTTGTTTGTAGCCCAGAGCTCAGAGGGGTTTCCCTTTTGTCATGCTATCTACCATTTGCACCCTGGAGGTTGGTGGGGTTGCTATGGCAACAGTGTCACACCCTGTTTTTCTAAAAGACTTTCCTGGCAAATGCCAAAGGGCATTCTTTGTCTCCCTGTCACATGCACACATTGTCACATTGTGGCTCTAGTCTTGGGAAGAACTTAACCTTCCTTGTTTCTGTGCCCAGTGCCTGCCAAGGCCTCCTTGCTTTTGTTGACGATGTTCATGAAATCTGAGGACCAGCTCTTCCCAGCTGCTTCCACTCTCAACTGGCCTCTGCAGCCTTTTTGAGCTCATGTCTAGAACTTCTGCTCATCCCAGGGCTGAGAGGAAGGAGGAAGTCAGGATGAGGCTTGAATCCCAGCCAGAGTAGAGTGTTACCCTTGCTTGAGGAATCAGGAGGCAGAAGGAAGGTGCTGGGCCGAAAGAATCACATAGTTCCCTTTTGGAAACTCAGGCCACAGCAGGACCTTTGATCTATGAGTCACTCAATCTCTGTCCTCTTGCCCCTCCTCAAAATAACAGGCCAGTACTCTGCCCTTGGAGTGTGTCCAGCAAAAATCCATTGATAATAGTAAAAATCAGCATGTGTAATCATGTTATAAGAGTTCCCTGGCCAGGCATGGTGGTTCAAACCTATAATCTCGCTACTTAGGAGGTTGAAGTAAGAAGATCTCATTTCAAGGCCAGCCTGGACAACTTAATGAAACCCTGTATTAAAATAAAATTCAAGTCGGGTGCAGTGGTACTTCTATAATCTCAGTGGTTCAGGAGACTGAGTCAGGAGGATTGCAAGTTCCGAGCCAGCCTTGGCAACTTAGGCCCTAAATAATTTTATTTAGAGAGACCCTCTCTCTAAATAAAATATATAAAAAGGGCCGTGTATGTTGTTCAGTGGTAAAGTGCCCCTGGGTTCAATCCCTGGTACCAAATTCGAAAAAGCTRGGGATATGGCTCAGTGGTAGAGCACCTGCCTATTACATGTGAGACTCTGGGTTCAATCTCTAGATCAGTACCTTAAAAAAAAAAAAAAGCAGGAATGCTCTGGGCTTGACCCCCAGCCTTAAGGTGTTTGTAGGGTGAGCAGRCTGGAATCCCAACAGCTAGACTGACAAGTCTGGAGAGTTTGTTTCTAGCCTAAGTAGTACAGGTGGCAGGCTCGTAGTCCCAGCTACTTAGGAAGCTGAGGTCACTTGAATCCAGAAGCTCAAGGCTTCTACAACAAGGCCTCCACAACATAGTGAGAGCTGTCTTTTTAAAAAATAATAATAAGGGCTGGGGATGTGGCTCAAGCTGTAGCGCACTCGCCTGGCATGCGTGCGGCCCGGGTTCGATCCTCAGCACCACATACAAATAAAGATGTTGTGTCCGCCGAAAACTAAAAAATAAATATTAAAATTAAAAAAAAATAATAAAATAAAATAAAAAATAATAATAATAACCAGACATGGTGTTGCATGCCTGTAATCCCAGCAGCTCTGGAGGCTGACGCAGGAGGATTGCAAGTTCAAAACCGGCCTTAGCAACTTAGCAAGGCCTTAAGTAACTCATTGAAACCCTGTCTCTAAGTAAAAAATATAAAATAGTGCTGGGGATGTGGTTCAGTGGTTAAGTGCCTCTGGATTCACTCCCGATACAAAAATAATATTATCCTAGCCTTGGGAGAGGAGACCCAGAAGGCTGTTCTAGGCCAGTCTCCACAGTCCAGGAGACCACTTGTTCCCCCTAGAATTACAGGGGTGCAAAGCTAACCCATTTCTTAGAGCAGATAAGTGGTCTAAGAAATAGGTTAGTTTTGCACCCCTGTAATTCTAGCTTTTCAGGAGGCTGAGACAGGAGGATTACATGTTCTAGCCTCAGCAACTTAGACACTATCTCAAAAATTAAAAAAGGACTGGGGACAGTGTTCCGTGCGAAAGTAGTCCTGGGTTCAATCTCCAGTACCACAAAAGGAAGAAATAAAGAAATGAGTTAGCCGGAGGACCTGGCACACACAGTAGGTCCTCAGAAAGTATTTGTTGGATGTTATTGGTGGTAGCTTGTTCATTCTTTCCCTTCCTCCTGCCCGCCCTGTTCTGCCTGCTATTTGCTCATTGTATGGTCCTTTTCATGAAGGAATGTTTTAAAGAGCACAGGCAGAATTTTACAACAAACAGTGCATTGTTTGAGTGATCCAGAGCAGGACTGTGGTCACCAGAGTGGCCAGAGGCTACAGGGAAGGGAGTGAGAAGAGAGGGCGAGGCTTGAGTGGGAGGCTTGGGTGGGCAGCAGCAAATCTCTGAGGGAGKCGTCCCTTGGGGATTGTGGTTTTAATGTCAGAATCAGGCCTTTTGTTCCCAAAAATGAGTTGGGCCAAGAAAAAGACCATAAGCCAATCATCAACAGGTAATTTTTTTAAAAAGTGTCCTTATGCATAAGCAGTTTTAGACTCTTAGAACCCCAAATCTCAGGAACCCTGAATACAGTTTCTCCCTAGGCAGTTCAGCCCAAGACAAGAAGGCTGATACTGAGCAACTCTGATTTCTAGAGTTCTAGTAGAGGTGTTTTAGAGACTACGCAGTGGGAGGCTGGAGCCAATGCACAGTGAGTTGACTTGCATGTTCCTCCCAACCATGTGTTCACTAACTTCACATTGGTAGCCTGAAATTGGCCACAGAAAGGAAATTTACACCATGGGAATCAGCAAATGCTAAGGATCCCTCTCCCCCAGCTGGTTGTTAAACATTTCCCAGCACAGCACTGGGCATATTCTTTTCTTAAAATTTAACCAGGGGCTGGGACTGTAGCTCAGTGGTAATGCACTTGCCTTGCATGTGTGAAGCACTGGGTTCGATTCTCAGTACCATGTATAAATAAAATAAAGATCTATCGACAACTAAGGGAAAAAATATTTTTAAAAAAGTTAACCAGTGGGGGCTGGGGTTGTGACTCAGTGGAAGAGCACTTGCCTCACAYGTGTGAGGCACTGGGTTCAATTCCCAGAACCACATATAAATAAATGAATAAAATAAAGGTCCATCAACGACTGAAAAAAAAAAACTTTTTTTTTTTAATGTTAACCAATGAGGGGCTGGGGTTAGGCACTGGGTTTGATCCTCAGCACCACATGGAAAAATATATATATAAAGGTTTTGTGTCCATCATAACTAAAATATTAAAAAAAAAAAAGTTAACCAGTGGGAACCAGACCCTGTAGTGTACACCTGTAATCTGTCTTAGGAGGCTGAGGTAGGAGGATCACAAGTTCAAGGCCAGCCTGAGCAGTTTAGTGAGACCCTGTCTCAAAAAAAGGAGGATGGGGTGGCTGGGGATGTAACTCAGTGATAGGAGCACTTGCTTAGCAAGCTTGAAGCCCTAGATTTAATCCCCAGTACTACTCCACAAAARAGAGAAAAAGTTGACCACTGGGACTTGGTAATACATGTTTTTCATCTAGACCTTCTACCTAAATTTCTCTTCTCCCAGATTGACATGTGTCTGGCTCCTTATCAGCTCAGGTGACAACAGAATACCCTATTTTATTGTTTGTTTCTTTTTTTTCTCCCCACCTCCCCAGTATTGGGTGTGAACCCAGGAGAGCTCTACCACTAAGCTAAATCCCTAACCCTTAGTATATTTTATTTTGAGACAGGGTCTCACAGAGTAAAACTGAAGCTGGCCTCAAATTTGCATTCTTCCTACCTCAGCCTCTGGAGTCACTGGGATTATAGGCATATGCTACCCTACCCAGCTGTTTTACCATTTTCACAGCATTTATCCCTTCCTGAAAACATAAAAACGCAGCATATAAAATGTTATCTCTGTCCCCTGTCCTAATACCCTCACCTATAGAATCTTTCCCTCTAATTTCTCAACAGCCTCCTTTTCTGAAAGGGTCCGGAACATGTCGCCTGATGAAATCAAGATCCCACCAGAACCCCCTGGCAGGTGTTCTAATCATTTACAAGTAAGCACAGGGCCTGGCTGCTGAGGCCAATATGGATGAAGTGGTATGGGTTAGTTACCTGGTGGGGCCATAGCAGGGAAAAGGGACCAAGGTCCTGGGTTCAATTTCCAGCACCACAAAAAATAAATAAATGAATAAATAGGCTGCCACATGATCAGGAGCTACAGTCCTGGTTATCTAGCTAGCCAGATCTCAGGAATTGGCACCCATAGTTCATGGCACCTGATATTGTACTAGCCTACCTTCAGCAAGGCCTATGTCCCCGCAGGAAAAAACATGCACATTTCCCTGTACRCAGCTGACCCAGTGGTAAAAAACTGTGTTGAAAATTGTGGATGTGTAACCGACGTGATTCTGCAGTCTGCATTTGGGGTAAAATTGGGAGTTCATAACCCACTTCAATCTAATGTATGAAATATGATATGTCAAGAGCTTTGTAATGTTGTGAACAACCAATTTWAAAAAAAACTGTGTTGACAAAATAAGGACATATCAGACTGTAAAGTAAATTATGCTAATGTGAAAACAGCATTTATACTTTCTATTTTCCTGCAGTACTGGAAATGGAACCTAGGGCCTCACACATCAACCACTGGCACATCTAGCACTCTACCACTGAGCTACACCTTCAGCCAAAAGTACAGCATTTATATGGCATAACATTCCTGTCCTCATTCCTAAATTCAGATTTGAGCCATTTATTGCCTACCTTTKGCCTTGAAATCCCTAGTGGTGGGAACTGTTCATGCAGTTGCTCCTTGGCTGGCAAGACTTCTGGATTTCAGACTRTACTGTGGCTTCTCTTTGTCCCTCTGCTGTGAGTGGGACCTTGTAACTAATAATAGGCCCGATGCCCAAGGCTGTGCAATTGTGGCCCTGGTTCACCTGCTTTGCCTTTGATCCTGCAGCTTCTGCTCAGTGCCTCTGGCTACTCAGCAAGCCCCTGGCACCACCCAAACGGATGGATGACTAATGGGAGTGGGGTTGAAGAATGCAGCAGACCAGGGGAGGGCTAGAGTCAGGGCTGGGGTACAGTGCAGCTTGTCTTCCTTTCACGGAAGTCTCCTCCCTTTGCTGAGTTGTCTGTTTCCCAGCACCCTCAGGATCAAGTCATCCTCCATGGCAGAAAATGGGCTCTAGCCTGTAAGGACAATTCCAAAGATCTGCCAGACAGCCAGATAGCCATTCAGCCCTCAAATTCAAAATGTTCCTCCTCATTCAATCCTCCCTTGGATAGAAACCATGGCATTTGAGCAAATGGTTTAGTTCACCTGAGGTAGCAGAACCCATTTGGAAACCCAACCAAGTCAGCTATATGATAAGTTCACCAAAAGCTGCCCAGCCTTCTATGTAAGGCCTCCTTCCACTGCCCTTGATGAGAACCCATTGAGGGAAGCAGCTTATCGCTCTCAGCTTCTCTCTTCCCTGGTATTTAAATGGATTACAAATCTTTCAGTGCTTCTTCAGGTCCATCTGGGCAGAAAAATTTGCCTTCTGACCAGGCGAGTAGGCCACCTCTCCTGACATGTCCATCCTAAGGAGTATCACTTGGGACCTCCAGCCCTGCCCCCACCTCCTCTTGCAGGGGAAGGGTGCCCAAATGTTTTCCTTCTGGAGAATCTGTATATTTAACTGCCAAGTGAGGGTATGCTGAAGTTTGATCTTGAATTAGATCTTACCCACCTTCCTAGATAAGAACACACTTTCAAAGAACTCTTCATTGTCACTGGGCAGCACTGATACCATATGCCACAGGGGCCAGGCAGGACCCCCATCCTGAGGATAGCATATTACTGGCCCAGTAGGTTATCCTGGGTCCCAGCCAGGTAGTTCTCCTGTGTCCCATTGAGAGTAGGTCAGAGATCTGTGTGAGCATTTTGGTCAAAATGGCATGAGCTCTTAACCCTTGATTGTGACCCTTGACAAACTGGCATGACCCAGCCACTTGTGAGTGCCTCACATAAGACTTGCTAAGGCTGAGGGTTTAGTTCAGTGGGAATATACTTGCTTAGCATGCACAATCCCCAGCATTGAAAAAGAAAGAAAATTCTAGGAAGTTTGTGAGACCACTCCAAGACATTCTACTCCTGCCTTGAAAAGGTCACAGGTCTGTTGGTTGCAATTCACAGTTTTGCTGAGGACTTAACCTTCTGTTGGAATTTAAACCAACCAGGCATGGTGGTACACTTCTATAATCACAGCAACTTTGGAAGTGAGGCAGGAGGATTGCAAGTTCCCAGCCTTGGTAACTTAGTGAGATCTTGTCTCAAAATAAAAATTAAAAAGGCTGAGATATGGCTCAGTGTCCCTGGATTCAACTCCTAATACCAAACATAAATCATGTAAAAACAGCTAACACCTTAAACTCTTCTTATAGTGATTTGAGAGCTGATATCCAGTCAGGAGTTTGTTTCTTTTCTTTGCTGTTCCTTCTCCACCTTGATCTTTACTCCTCACTGTACTGGCCATCCAGAGAAGGCTGGAAGAAATCAGCAATGAAAACAGACCCACTTGGTTTATCTTGCCTGTGGGCAGCTCTGCTCTTTAAAGGCTGGGTGGAAAAGGAGAATATGGCTGGAGTTGGGCTTCCTGGGGCTCTTGTGTTTATGCCACAGACTGGATTGTGGGTGGGTGGTCTTCTGTCATATGTCCTTCTGTTCCTGTTCATAGGACAAGATCCAGAAGCTTTATGAGCGAAAGATAAAGGAGGGAATGGATATGAATTACATCATCCAAAGGAAGAAAGAATTTCGGAACCCTAGGTGAGTTTCCCATGAGCTTGCAGGTAAGTTGAGTCACTGGTGTTAGATGGGGGAACCAGGAATGTGCCTAGGAAGGGCTGAGGAGAGGCAGCCTTGATCCCTCTTGAGCAAAAAGGGCCATCTCCCAGATTCTCCTTATTCTAAGTGCCTGTGACATATAGCCAGCTGTCTAAACCAGGTGGAGCTTTATCAATTAGATCCAAACTAAGCATAGAAACCAGCCTACAGAATAGCAGCCAAGAGTCCTGGGCTGATGCAGGGAGACCTGGCTGGTTTCTTGTCACTCCTCTGCTCCTACAGCACATAACTTCTCAAGGCTTTGGTTTCCTCATCTGTTCAATAAGGGAGTTACTCTTCTTCTAACTCTAAAAAGTTGGTTTTGCATACAGATGAGAGGTTTTAGGGACAGGTATATCTAGGTCTTAGTCCATCTAGTGTTCTGGCTAGTGACAAACCCAGGAAGAAGGTGGTGTGTGACAGTGGGACCTGTTCTGGCCCCTGCATGGGCCTGAGTGTGGTGGACTCAACCCAGCCATACAGACTGAAGGTTAGAGACATCTGGATTAGACACAGCATAGCTGACATCTCACTCCTGGAGCTTGCCCCAGCTACATTTCCATCTCCCAAAGAAGGTAGAAAGCCAGAGCCAGGAGGTCAGGCCCCCCATTAGGAAGCTTGCTTAGAACAATATAAGTGGCCTTAAGAGTTTCCGCTCTTATCTTAGCCCCAGGRACTAGTGGTTTCATTGCCCTATAGACCTGGACCAGTGCCTGCTCACTGATGAGGCTGTTTTCTTTTCAGCATCTATGAGAAACTGATCCAGTTCTGTGCCATTGATGAGCTGGGCACCAACTACCCAAAGGTGCGTCCTACACTTTGCAGCTCGAGGGTGAAGAGGGTTCCCAGGACTCTGTGTTTGCTCCACTGTATTTGMCCTAGAGCCACAGAAAGGTCCATGTAGCAGCACTATGGGTTGAAGAGAACAGGCCCCATCTCTGTTGTTTTTGAGTTTCTATTCTGAAATAGTTTAACAAAGAAATGCCAGCAACAGACCTGGTCTCTAACCACTTAGAACCCAAGTATATGCTTGTTGTTCCTATCGGCCAGCTGGTGGTGGTGTTACTGAGCCAAGAACTTTGCCACTCCCGTGTTCTTTTCTGAGCTTTTTCTGGCTACCCATGGCTGGGAATCATGCCAGCTCCTGTGCTGTCAAGAGGACAGGGGGCTCCAGGCCAAAAAAGTCCATGGAAAGACTCTTCAAATCATTGTTACCTGGTGGACTCTGCTGATTGCATCTTGATCTTTTCTTTTTCAGGATATGTTTGACCCCCATGGCTGGTCTGAGGATTCCTACTATGAGGCATTAGGTAACCTGCTTTCCATCTACCCACCACTCGTCCATCCACCCATCCATCCACCCATCTGTTCAGCCATTCAGCCATCCAGTCAAWCATCCAGGATCCAGGCCACACATGTTTCAGGGTCTTCTCTATGTCAGGCCACATCCAGGGGGCTGTTGATTCAGTCTTGAATAAGACAGACCCCATTTGTAACTTACAAGACTTAAATATAAGTCAGGCATGGGGGCATATACCTGTTAATTCCAGCTACTTGAGAGACTGAGGCAGAAGGACCAAAAGTTTAAGACAGGTCTGGGCAACTTAGCACGACCCTCTCAAAACTTTTAAATATTTTTTTTTTAAAGTGCTGGAGACATAGTTCAGAAGTAGAGCAATTCCCTAGCATATGTGAGGTCTTTGGTTTCCAGTACCCCACATGCGTGCACGCACATGCATGCATGCGCACACACACACAAAGACTTAAATATAGCAAGGAAGATAGTGAAACCAGTAATTCCAGCACTGATGGGTATTAAGATGAGGAGAGAGTGTTGGGTGTAGTGGCACACACCTCTAGTCCCAGCAACCCATCAGGCTCAACACAGAGTATCACAACTTCAGGGCCAGCATGGGCAACTCAACAATACCCTATCTCAAAAAATTAGGACTGGGAGTGTAGCTCCAGTGGTAGAGTGCCCCTGGATTCAATCCCCAGTACGGGGGGGCAGGGGGACCCAAGGGGGTTTGGGGAAGGTTTGGTAATCAGGGTCACCTCACCTGGCTAAAGGGTTAGGAAGACCCTGCCAAGGAAGCCATGTTGCAGCTAAGGTTTGGAGAGGTGTAGGAGCCAGGCAGATGCGGGCAGAATGCTCCAGGCAGGCTGGGGAATTGTATTCTAAGGCCAGGGGGATTTCAAAGGGTAGCCTTCAAGCTACAGGTCTTAAGCCAACAGCCCATGGTCCAGTTCCTGGCCTATACATATATTTTGTTTTCCCCACACAAATTTGTTCTTTTCTTAATTTGAATTAGTTGCCAACATTTTGTATAAAATTCCATAATTGCAGCTTTTCTTTGTCAGTAGGAAGATAGTCCCCACATTCCCAAACCCAACAGTCCCTGGAGCTCAGGAGTAACTAACCCTTCCCAACAGGACATGCAGCCTCCAGGTCCTTGTTTTGAGGCCCCTGCTCTAAATTGACTAAGGGCTGGCATTTCATTTCACCTAATGCAAAAGAATTCTAAGCCCACAAAGGCCTTAAAATCATCAAAAAGAATACAGTGCCCCGAGCAGTGAGGGGATTAGGCTCCACAGGCCAAAGCTGCTCATAGGGTTCCTTGTAACACCATCTTGTCTCTTCTAGCCAAGGCCCAGAAGATTGAAATGGACAAATTGGAAAAGGCCAAAAAGGAGCGAACCAAAGTAAGTGGTTACAAACCTGCAGGATCAGAAAGGCAAGCATTGGGTATTTGGGTCCTGATGGATAAGCTGAGAGTCCCCATCTCCCACGCCCACCCTTTTCCGCACTTGTCACCTGCTGAGGCTCTGAGGAGCCTAGGCCTGCCCTTCTGCACCAAGCAGGCTGTGGCCCAGCCTCTGACGTGGCTTTTAGAAGCCTCCCACTGTTCCATTCTTGATGTCTTGTAGTTCAGATATTACGCTCTCCCTCACCTTCCCTCCCCCACTCACAACTTCAAAGTTCAGGTRGCTTGTCTCTTGTGGGTCATTGGGTCATCGGTGCCCTCCCTGACTTGGATGGAGGGAAGTATTTCCTTCTGAGAGTATAGGCACCCCAGCCTGCTCCAGCCATTGCATTTCTTGCCCTGCAAAACTGACCTCAGCAGCCTGCTTGGGTGCTTCCTTGTAAGTCCCATGTCTGACAGCCAGGTGAACCCTCATTTTAGAACCCTGAGTACCACTTCTTCCCAGTAGTGTGGTGTGGGTTCTTCATAAGCATCAATTTAGCTCTGAGACTAAAGCATCATCCTTTGGACACTGTGCATTAATAACCAGAGTCTCCAAGAGAGAAAGCTGGGCATCAGACACTGGCTCCTCCCACCTCTGGTTAGACCTGGTCAGCCTCACGGCAGCTGCGACCCCCARAATACTCCCCTCACCCCCAAGCAGAGGGGCTGCAGGGCCTGGATGCACTGGTGGCCCTCTCAAGGCCCTGGCTGGTGGGAGCTGGTGTGAGGGGATAATCTGGTTTCTCATTCTTAACCCTTGATTGAATCTCCCTTCTCTCTCTTTCCCTCTCCCTTCCAAACCCCAGGCTTATTGCAGGGACGTGTCTGCAGCGCCTGGGGACCGGAGCTGTCCTTCCCCTGTGCGGGCGGGCACCGCCTCCTGGGTGTGAGGAGGAGGGGCCTGGCCAACCGGTTCTGGGCATGTGAGGTGGGGTGGTGGGCAGGGGTGCCGGGCATGCGCAATCCTGTGATGCCGGGAGGGACTGCTGTCTGCTGGGAAAGCTCTTTGAAGAGTGGTGAAAGTCCCTTCGGGCTGTTTCCAGGCACCTCTCCCTCCCCAGATGCTCATAGCTGAGGTGACTTTCAATGCCTCTTTGTGTACTGCCAAATTCCTGTCCCCCTGGAGCAGACGGATGGCACAGGAAGTAGGCACATAGCTCTGCATTGGCCTTATCCTCCTCTCTCCCCCCCTCCAGATTGAGTTTGTGACGGGCACCAAGAAAGGCACCACCACCAATGCCACAGCTACCACCACAACCACTGCCAGCACAGCCGTCGCAGGTAGGATGGCTTGGCCCAGCTCTACCCGGACTGGCCACACCAGTCTAGCAAGGGTTTCCTGGGCTCGTCTAGGGCACCTACTGGCCACCTGGGGCTTCTTGGACCAAGGCCTTTGCATTCCTGCCCTGAGGGCATGGAGTGCTCTGCTTTTGGTTGGTCTTTATCCTGATTCCTCTTCTGCATTATCTCCAGATGCCCAAAAGAGAAAGAGCAAGTGGGACTCCGCCATCCCAGTGACGACAATAGCGCAGCCCACCATTCTCACCACCACTGCCACCCTGCCAGCGGTAGTCACTGTCACCACCAGCGCCAGCGGCTCCAAGACCACAGTAATCTCTGCTGTGGGCACCATYGTGAAGAAGGCCAAGCAGTGACAGAGCCATGCCAGGGCTTGACTGTGCAGCCTAGTGGCTGCTTTATTTTTCAGGACTTGGACCTGCTCCCAAGGTGCCATCTGAGAGGAGCCTCTGTGTGGCATTCCAACCAGAAGGACATTGTAGCAGAGGCAAAGGATACAGCAGATAGGGTCTGTCTGTCCACACACCACTTTGGGGTCTCACCCAATTAAAAGTGTCGTGTTCTTCTGTCCCAGCATCTGGGGTACACTGGCCTCTCCCACRGTTTGTTTGCAGGCAAATGTGAAGCTCAAATCCTCCCTCCATCTTCTTATTCATGATTATTGATTGCCTAAGGATTGATAGTGGGGTGATGGAAGCCTGTGGCACTGCTTAGAGGGGTGCCCCAGTAAGTCACTGATTATTCCCACTGTCTGCCTCTTGGCATGGTCAGGTGTGGCCCCAGGGAGGAGAGTGAGGCCTCTGGTTCTTAAGCAAGAGCAGACCTCAGCTGTCTTGGTACAATTGAGCACTCTACAGGCCGCTTCTTGGACATGCCCAGGCTTTCAGAATTAGGCTAGGTACCAGAAAGGCTGGGATGAGATCCCCAATGTGCACCAGAGGGTGTTGGTATGGGCACCTGGCCAAGGCCGCCTAGTCCCTTAGTGCCCAGCAGGCGCAGCCAGCGAGATCCGCAGTCGGGGAGATGAATCACCTCCTGCTCTGGCCGGCAGCAGTTCATTGTTTATGTGAAAGCACTGCTCCTGGGAGAGCTGCTGCCACCCCACCCTTCCTCTGTTGTTATCTCTGCCYGGCAGCAGTCCCTGGGCAACACCAATGGCTGACCAGCTTCTCTTGGGCCAAAATGGGTTTCCCAACCACCACCAGCCTGAGAGTGGAGGGGGCAGTTTGCCTTTGAGCTCTCTGGCAGCTCTGGTCCAGCGGAAGCACTGAGTGTCAAAGAAGGAAGCCAGGCTGTGAAAAGCTGTGGATTCCATGAGCCCGGCACAGACTGAGAAAGGTGGTCTTGAAATTGATGCCTGGTACTGTTATGTGATCTGGGGAATATGACAAACTATCCCTAATGTCGCCAAAATAAAAATAGTCACTCTTGCCCCATCTTATCCTTGGGACTTGGCCACCCTGGGGGAATTGCTGCTGCCTGCTCATCCTAAGAGGGTCTTTGTAAAGGCCCCCTTGCTCCCAGGCTCTGGGGGTTCCCCCATAGCCAAGGATACCAGGAGGTCTAGTAGAAGGCAGTGCAGCAGGGAAACAGAGTGCCAAGTACAGTGGGCATCCACTGGTCTGGCGTCCTGGCCTAAAGCAAGTCCTGTGGTCTGTATGCCACTCTTCTGTCAAATCAGCAATAAAGCTTCATGCAGAGGTTTGGAGGAATCATTGAAGGAAAAGCTTTCTAAACTGTAAAGTACTTGGAAAGCTTCTGCTGTTTGCCAATACATTTTATTTTCACTATTGACCTAGGAGAGAAGCAAATCCTAAAAATGATGAAATCAGCCAGGGTCTGGGGAGTTGGCAGCAAGGCCACCTCCCCTTTAAGGGCTCTTTGATAGAGCGGGAAGTAGACTGAGGCCAGTCTGCCCCTAGCCCTGCCATTGAGCTGCCCAGTTGGAGCAGCAGTGACCGTGCAGTGGGCGCCTGGGCAGTGGACACAGCTGAGTTGGCATCCCCAAGCTGAGAGTGCTGTTCYACTTCCTAGAAACCGAGTGAGTTGGCTAAGTCTTAATCCTCAGAATAATAGGTTAGTATAAAAGGGTGCCTGCCCACCTTTATTCCCACTGAGGATGGTGTCTGGGGATACCGGGTGTCCCTGCTACTAGGGACTAAGGTGACTTCTGATCTCACAGGGAAAATTCACTCTGCCCCCACCCCTTTCCTGTGTTGAGCAATGACATCATGATCCATGCAGGTCTCACCACTGTGCACTGGGAATCTGCACTGTCCCTCACACCCCGTGGGTGACTTCAGAAGCTCTTCCTCCATCCCCTTTATTGCTGCCTCTGTTCAGGCTCTTGTCCCTCACACCACACTGTTCTGGCCTGGTAGTGCTGCCTCAGTCTCCCCACTCCCGTCCAAGCTCCGGTCGTCCAGCAGAGGCCCCTTGCTATACTCCAGCTCTTGCCATGTTACATGCTGCACAGCAGGGTCTAGACTTGAGCATGGCATGCCAAGCCACCAGCTTCCCACCTCTCCACACCCCACCCACTGTGCTTGGGCAGCTCCCTCACCTTGTGCTTTCCCTGCTGCACCTCTGCACATGGAGCACCTCCAAATGGATCTCAGGTTTCATACCCCTTCCTGACTTCACTCCCCGCAGCTGCTCACTCCTTTCTCAGTGCTCTCAGAAGTGTTTCTCTGCCTGTGACTTCTGCCCACATAACAGTGGGCTGWGACCACTGGTGTCCTAGTTACTGCAAGCAAAGAAGGTAGTTACAAGAAACAATGTCCCATGTGCCTGAAATAAGGACTTCAGTCAGTAATGTAGTGGAGGAATGGAAGGAGGGGTTAATTAGTGGTCATCCAAAGTTGTGGTCACTAGACTCGAGTGACCCTCCATGCCCATGTTCACAGCGATTCTTGTATGGGTTTAATTCCAAAGGACTACTGTAGATTGTGTGCTGGCAATCCCAGAGGCTCAGCCATAGGAATAGGGGGCTCATTGTTCTCTCATTTTGTGCTTGTTTTGATTTTGGAGACAGGATCTCACTATGTTGCCCAGGCTGGCCCCAAACTACTGGGCCTAAGCAATCCTGCCTCAGCCTTCCAAATAGCTGAGAATACAGGCACACCTGGCTCTCATATGTTTGAAAGTATGGGTAAAAGTTTGGTTTTACCAACCACTGTGGCGCATGCCTATAATCCCAAAGCTCAGGAGGCTGAGGCAAGAGGATCATAAATTCAAAGAGCCTCAGAAACTTAGTGAAGCCCTGTCTCTAAATAAAATATAAAAAGGCCTAGGGTTGTGGCTCAGTGGTCCAGTGCCCCTGGGTTCAAGCCCCAGTACCAAAAAAAAAAAAAAAAAAAAAAAAAAGTTTGGTTTTATGGTGCTGGGGATTGAACTTCGGGGTGCTCTACCACTTGAGCTACATATCAGCTCCCTCCACCTCTACACACAGACACATACACTTTTAAAATTTTATTTTGAGACAGAATCTCACTAAATTGCCTAGCTTGGCCTTGAACTTATGATTCCCCTTCTGTTTCCCTGGTAATGGGATTGCAGATGTTATAGATGGGTGCCACCTCACCTGACTATAGTAATTTAAAAAAAAAAAAAAAGGTTATTGAGCTGTAAATAAGAATGAGGAAGATTTCCATGGACAGATTTGCAGTGATCTTAAGGAGAGGCAAGATGTAGAACAGTGCTATAGAGAAAAGCAATACAAGAATTAAAGATATCAGGGCTGGGTATATAGCTCACTGGTAGTGCATTGACTCTGGGTGGGTTCAATCCCTAGCACCAAAAAGAAAGAAATGTTAAACTTGAATTGGAAATATCAATGTGAACTCATTATTTTTAATCTGTTTCTATTAAAGGAATGTAGAAACCCCAGTAGCAATACACATGTGTAACACCCAGATCTTGATTCCCCACAGGGCTCCTTGGAGAAACGGATGAGTCAAAATCTAAGTGGGGCTGGATGGAGCACTTTGTTCCAGAAAGCAGTATTTCAAGTATTTCAAAAGGTCAACGGAACTGTTTTGAAGATATTTCTCATTGGTCAAATGTGGTTAATGTGAACATTAAGAAAAAATGACTGCAATGGACTATAAACTGGGTAAATAGAGATCCATTCATTCATATTTGGAAGAAAAATGTATTTGCCACCATCAGAGTTTAATGTTAATTCCTTACTCAGAAATTGACACTGAAAAGAATTGCTCCTAGTCTAATGTGGATGGCATTGTGAAATGGTACAACTGCTATGGAAAACAGTATGGCGACCCTCCAAAAGTTAACGAGAACTGCCCGAGTCAGGTGTGGTGGCACACCTGTGGTTCCATCTAGTCAGGATCACTTGAGTTCAGGAGCTCAAGGCTAACGGGCCTGTCTAAGAAACAAAAAGGGCTGGGGACGTAACTTAGTGGTAGAGTGCTTGCCTAGCATGTTCATGTCCTAGTTCCATCCCCAGCGTGACAAAAAAAAAAAAAAAAAGTTCAAATAAAGTTAATATAAGTTTTATTATTAAAAAGGAAATAAGCCAGTGGAGGTGATGCATGTAATCCTAATGGATCTGGAGGCTAAAACAAGAGGATTACAAGTTCAACACCAGTCTCAGCAACTTACACCCTAAACAATTTAGTGAGACCCTGTCTCAAAATATAAAAAAGAACTGAGGATGTTGCTCAGTGGTTAAGCACCCCTGGATTCAATCCTCAGAAGCAATAAAAKAAAGTTAAGATGGAAAATTTTACATTATGTGACAAAAACATACATAGCATGGTGCTGGGCACTAGGTGTGGTGGCTTGTAATTTCAGCTCCTTGGGAGGCTGAAGCAGGAGGAATGCAAGTTAGAACTTCAGCAACTTAGCAGGACCTTGTCTTAAAATAAAATGTAAAAAAAGGATTGGGGATGGCCTGGGGTTATGATTCAGTGGTAGAGCGCTTGCCTAGCATATGTGAGGCCCTGGGTTCGATTCTCAGCACCACATACAAATAAATAAAGGTCTATTGACATATATATATATATATATATATATATATATATATATGAAAAAAGGATTGAGGATGTTGCTCAGTAGTAAAGCACATGAAGCCCTGGAATCAAACCCCAGTATCAGAAAGAAAAGGAGGAAGGAAGAAGAAAAAAAGAACCTATTAAATATAGGAAAGTAAAAACAGAAAAAAAAAAAACAGAAAATAGTCATTTTGTAACTGTAAAGAAATACTTCAGGCCAGTCACCAAGGGATGCTAAAACATTCAGAAATGTTTGAGCAATGTGCAGGGTGACAAAGCACTATTACCCTCTTCTAGATAACTGTTAATCACAAAGTGAAAAAGGGTATTTTCCCACTAGAAGTTAGGACCATCACTCTCTTACCCTGATGACTGACTTCAGCATCCCTAATAGAGAGGCAGGTGCTACTGGCAAAACACACACTACCACCTATGACCAACCTTGACGAAAATATGTGACTCAAATCCAATTGGAAAAAAAAGAAAAAAAAAATCCAATTGGACCTTTAGGCCCAACCTCCCTTTTGCAGAAGGATAAGAGAACAAGTCC